ATTTTATTTTATTTTATTTTATTTTGATTGCATGTTTTTGTTCTTTGTTATTTTGTATTACAAATGAAATGAATCAATTTCTAAATAAAAATAAAAATAAAATAAAATCCTTGCCACGAAAGGCACCTTGGTAGTAGTGAAGTGTAACAACACTGCGTTACCCAGAATTGCAGTCACCTTTTAACTGACTTATACTGTAGCCTGGCCAATGCTTRAAAAAAGGCCARAATTTGGCTCAGTTAAACGGCCAAACAATCAATCAGTTGACCTCTACTCTTAATAAATCCTTGTAAATTGGTGTTTTCTTGTGYCAGCGTTTACTTTAAAGCCCTCTGTTCAGGACTGGTGCCTGCAGCTCTCGTCTATCCCCACGCCCGACTCCAGAGAACAGTGATACACTTCGATCAAGCAATCCACCARTTAACTGTAATGGTGATKTAACTTGTAGCTCAATTGTCAGCAGTGATTAAATGACAGCAGCTGGATTTTGTGCTTCACATTAGTGGATGTTTGTCTCAAAGTGTTGACTTGCATAAATGCACTTGTGATGGTTTAATGACTAAAACGAGACTTCAGCTGTCTCCACATTCACGTTCAGTTATTTTTAGTTGCATAAACAAGGTTTTGATGTTCACCCACTCATGTATGTTTCTGTTGTTTCCATGTTTTTCAGCCAGTTTTATGATGCTTTTGCTTATTTTAACKAAGCTGGACTGAGTACCACTGTACGGCCCAGCAAGAGTGTACTTATTTCCAGCAGTAGAAATGGTTGGGAGATGGTTATTTAGTTCTATTCATTGCTTTTTTTTTACACCCTACAGGCTCTGAGACTTGAATTAAATTTGAAACTGAATTTTTGAAAAAAAATCTGTGAGATTGCCCTATATGTCCATGTACTTGCAAAATGGGGGGAAATCTGTGTAATCTACAGACAATCTGTACAACTTGATTTGATTTATTGATTTAACAGGAAAAGATTACTAAAAATCAAGCCTGACTCAGCATAATTGCTGTTTTACAGCAGGTTCCTGTTCTGCAGCACATAAAACACTCAGAAATACAGCATCACAATCACATCATTATACACCATAGACACAAAGACAAACAAGCATACCAAATTTCAGGAAGGCAGAGTTTGCAAAATAGGACGTCTAAATGAGCACAACAGAAAGTGTCCAGCAGATGGCAGACAAGATTCTTCTTAAAGGGCTGTAGTTTTGAAATGGACTTTATGTTTTGAGGAATGTCATTCCATGCTTTAGTATAAACATAGAAGAAAGACCTCTGGCCGTAACAGTTTTTAAAAGTTATGGTTAGGTATTAGGTATGTCAGTTGTCCTTTTGTAACAGATCTCGTTGAATGACCACTTCCAGAATTTGATTTGGGCAGCAATGCACAGAGAGTTCCATAATTGGCACCTTGGAAGATCTGAAAATATAAATTAATACCACTATACAAAACATAATTCTGTAAAGTCAAGGCATCAGACAATGAAAGAACTGTACAGTGATGAGTCCAACCAGGAAGTTTTTTATGAATTTTGTAGGCCCTGTTGTAGAGCCTAACTATGTGTTCTAAGATTTCAGTTGTTGTAAGAGACCAAACAGGTAAACAGTACGACATGGTTGAGAGTATAATGGCATGAAGATAGATATTTGAAACAGAAGATGCCAGATTGGATCTAATTTTTGAATAAACCTATAATTTCTGTTTCAACTTAGTGGGACTTGTACATGATCAAGATAAGTCAAATGAGAATCCAAAGTAATTCCAAGATATTTGTATGTAGTGACAATATCAAGGGGTTTGTTTAAAAAAGTGAGTTGATTTGTTATATTGAAATGTCTCCTGGGTGAGGAAAAATACATGCACACAGTTTTTTTAACATTAACTGACAAAAGATTATCTTGAAGCCAACCACGAAATGTCTGAAGATCTGCTTGTAACTGACTATTAATAGATTCAATATTGAAATCAGACAAAAAAGAACAGTATCATCAGCATACATTAAAATATATAAAATATATATAAACTTGACATGTGAAGTGCAGCTTCAAGTGAGACAACTGTTAAAAACTCAACCAACCCAGAAACACATTTTACCTAGCTGGCGGAAGTTCTCTTCAAGCCCACTCCAGAAGTTTTTCTCAATGAAGCCTTTCACCAGCCCCCATGGCTGTTTCCTGTAACGCAGCTCTGTTGAAACCCTGGGAGACAGAAACGTATTTATACGTGTGTGGCCTTTTCAGTTCTAAAATAGCACATATAAAAAAATGTCAAAAAATAAAAAATAAATAAATGAAATGAAAAGCACATTTAAAGCCAGGACTTGATTAATAATTGCGCAAATAAAACGGGACCACATTCTGCTCACCGTAACCGACACTTGTTCTTGGCCACCCGTGTGAGCATGTAGCGGTTGAGAGTGTAGAAGTAATCGTGGTAGGGCACGTCATGCGTGATGACCTCTGCATCGATGATGTAACACTCACTCTCCTGACTGGCTTTGTACAGAGTCTAAAAAAAGAAATTCAGTTTAATTTAATTTAACATTAACAACTGCAACAGCTAAATACAGTCTTTTTCTTTTGCCTCCACACTGGAAGATCTGCCTTCAAATCTCCTCCTCTCTTACCTTCAGCCCAGTTTCCTGTCTTTTTGTTAGCACCACCATCTTCATACAGCCCAGTAGGTCTCACTATCATCGTGTAAACCTTCCCTTTCTCTCTTGCGGCTACCTTTCTGTCACAAATTTGGACATTTATCTTCGATCCCTCCACCGAGTTTGTACTCTTTTCTTTACTGCTTGTTACTTTGAATGGTTGACCCCAGGCACTTAAAAGTCATCCACTTTTATTATCTCTACTCCTTGCAATTATACCCATGCAGCACATAGGTATGGGCCAGATTTGGTGTCAAGCTGGCTCCGCTGGTCGACTGCTGGCATGGCAAGTGGCAGTGTTGTATAAAGTACCTCAAAGTGATACTTGAGTAAAAGTACAAGTACCTTATCATAAAATTACATCGGTAAAAGTTAAAATCTCCTCTAAGAATATTGCTTGAATAAAAGTCCTAAATGGTAAATGGACTGTACTTATATAGCGCCTTTCTATCCATCACCCATGCACACACACATTCACACACTGATGATGGCAAACTACATTGTAGCCACAGCTGCCCTGGGGCGCACTGACAGAGGCGAGGCTGCCATACACAGGCRCCACCGGACCCTCTGACCACCATCAGTAGGCAAGGTGGGTAAGGTATCTTGCACAAGGACACAACGACCGAGTCGACTGGACAGGAATCGAATCGGCGACCTTCTGGTTCCAGGTCGACTCCCCTAAACACTCTACCACAGCCGCCCCAAAAGTCAAGTAAAGTAAAGTAACTAAAGTATCTGATTTGTTTTGTACATAAGTATCAAAACAACATTTCTGATATGAAATGTACTTAAGTATCAAAAGTAAAAATAGTGAGTAAAAGTGAATGGTTAGACTTTCCAAAATACATTTATTGGGAGGTGATCTCACAAAAAACAAACAAACAAACAAATCTTTTTAAAAGCATGTAGCTGTGATGGATTGTGTATACGGTGTCAGAATCGTAAATATTTATACTTCTCGTCAAATCACAATTAAATTCACTTTATCCAGGTGCAGTTTATCAGGATAGTATTTTTTTTAAACAATAACGAGCCAAAATTAAGGAGTAACAACTTTCTACTTCTTACCATTTTAAAAAAAATTTAAGGAGTTGAAAGTACAGATAATTGTGTAAAAATGTGAGGTGTAGAAGTAAAACATTGGCTGAAAAGTGCAGATAGCCAAAATTTCTACTTAAGTACAGTAAAAAAGTATTTGTACTTAGTTATTTTACAACTCTGGCAAGTGGTTTGTCAATTGGATGTGGGCCAGGTTTGGCAATGGTGGCACTGTTTTTAAGATGGCATGCCACAACTGAACCACAATTGTGGTTTGGTTTATGTGGTGCTGGCCCATGCCCGAACCACCTTTGGCAAACWACATCTGGGCCACCAAAAGGCTGTCATTCTTTGTGACATCTGAGCTGAGTGTTAGTGCATTGTATAAGCCAACCTGGGCCAGACAAATTCTGCTATGTGGGTACAGTTTCACCCATCTCCGTCTCATTCACAAACATGGATCCTCTCCAGAGCATACATCCACCTCTCCAGACTCTTCCACCTGCTTTCTACTCTCACTGCAGATCACAATATCATCTACAAACAAATCCAGTCCATCAGCAAATTAATAAAATACTAAGAAATGCCTCAGATCTCAGTTTACCTGCGTCTCAGTGACCGTGGCTGTTTTAGGTGCCAGCGGGTTGGACAGAGAGATGGTATACAGGATCACTCGAGTCTGGTTTCCTGCCTCTTCCTTCTTCCACGGATGGTACACAACATCTACACCAAAAGATATAAAAAGCAAGGGGAGATAATTGTATTATTTCCCAAGAGAACAGACACRAATTAATTGGATCAGCRGCAGAAACATTGAGAGTACTTACCTGAGAATCGCCTTTGCTCCATGAAGTCACTCATGAACTGAGACTCTGTGAAGAGGATGTCATAGAGTTTGTCCACGCTGAACTTGTACACCTCATTGATATGCTGCCTGCCGTTCAGATCCTCGTGGAAGGCTTGGACCTCACCTACATTGCAAGAAAAACACAAAACACCTATGTTTCATGAGATGATCCTTTAATTACTGGATAATATCAGTCTGGTATAAGTAAGTACCCTCGTCATGGGTTTCTGAGGAGTCACTGAGCTCTGTTGGGATGTCTTCATTGTCGTTAAAGTCCAGTGATGGGGAGGGAACAGGACCACCAAGTCCGCTGGTCTCGGTCTTCTCCTCTACTACCAGAGGCACCGTTAGCARCTCACCGTCTGGTAAACAGTCTGCAAATTCCTCTGCTGGGAGTTCAAACTGTGGGGGATTTATAAACGTAAGTGAGGAGCCATAATACTCTACTGCATGCTAAATCTTGTTAGGAGGACTTCTTGATGATATTCTGAGCTAGAGAGGTATTTGAGTTCATCTTCCCTGCAGTAAATCACCATAAATAACTTACTGTGATTGCTGTGTCATGGTTGCCAGGGCTTGGGATGGAGTTGTTTGGGACAACTTTTTTATGGAGTGGAGGAGGACTCCCCCCCTCAGGCTTGGTTTGCTCCGTGCTGTTCTTTGTCAAGTTGTCATTGTTTATCTCATTCTCTTCGTTGGGAATCTCTTCACTGAACCTGAGTGTGCCAGAAAACAGGGATTCAGTTTCCACACATYCAGCTCTTCATTTTTAGAGTCAAGAGGTGATTGTAGACTTTTCGACAGACTCAGTATTACACTAATCACTGTGAAATGTTTGATACAAAACAGACAAGAAAATATCATAAATGGGCTGTTTCAGAGGGCTCGTTTTTCATTTGCAGAATATATTTGGGCCTGTTTGTGKTTTTTTTTCTTGGCTTTTTATCAATCAGGCTGATTATAAGTGTTTGTTTGAAATACCGTAAATTGGGGTTGATATGCTAAGACTATACAAACAATCCCATAAAAGGCACATCATTCAGTGCTTCACCAGATATCATGTAAGTTTTACTCTGTTASCTGGAGTTTATTTTATTAAATTTTTTGTATGTGTGTATGCCTCTAGGTCTATTCTGATCAAAAACCATTAAAACTGCTCAACTGAAAAATAAATGAAGTTCAAGAACAAATCGCTGAACGTGACTGGGGATAAAAACAGAAAAACATTTAAATTTATGAAAATGTACAATATGGAAGCATCTGTCTTGTTTTAAAGCTACAGACAGATTGAGTACTTTACTGATTGTGAGTCTATTTTAAGAACACACACAGGGTGTAGCCCACACTTCAGCAGAGACTAAAGGCTCCAGCATGCTGCTGCCGAAATCGTGCCGAACTGTCGCAGTTTCATGACGAAAATTGCGTCACTTCTGTTTGCATTGCCGACATTTTGGTACTTCTTGTGACGACCCGCGGGTGGAACTTTTCACCCCCCCTCCACTTAAGAACACATACGAACTATATGGTGTGATTGGTCAGAAGTTTGTGGGAGTGTTTGTGCTGAAAGCGCTCAGACGCTGCATTTGCTTCAACCACTCGCTTAAAAAAAGAAGGAAAAAAAAGCGACTCGTTCCAGAGCCGACTGTTACCAGGAAGCAGCGATTTATAAAGAGAGACAAACGGCCAAAACCTCATAAAAGGGGATAAAACAGACGGTTTTCATGGTGAAATCTGACTGACGAAAACTTTGGAGCTTATCCAGGACCAGTTTGTGGATAAATAATGTCGGCTGATGAGTGTCAAACTTTTTTTTTCCCCGCATTGGACTCCACCGGTAGAGAAATCCCATGCAGTGACGTATGCTGCAGTGGGAGGGGTTTCCCAGGAGCTCGGTGCGGTGTGTCTCAGGAACTACGAAAGGTGTGTGCGAAAACAAACGCTGTACAACCACGTGACGGCGTGTCGACCGGTCAGCTGCCGAGCGACCATTCTGCCTGCTTAAATCCACTGCAGAATTTCTGTAATTCCTCTGGCACAACAAGACATTTAAAGGAAAATCTTCAAAAGTTGTAAACAGGTTGCAGGTGTGGCTCTAAATGGGTTACATTATAAAGTTAGGGAGTGTGCTTTTGGTTTTGACTGAGACACTATTCAAGTATTTTCTGCTTCTTCCGGTGATTAGGAAATTGAGTGAAAGTGTTTATAATTTTGGTAAGAATAGTGACTCCAGTACAGGAGGACTTACCCCATGGTGTTGAAGTCATCATCAGGGGGAACATAGTCCTCATCGTCGCTGGTTAGGCCGAGCTCGTTGCCGTAGCACTGATGCACAAAGTGCCACAGTTCTTTGGGACACAGGGGCTGCGAAAGACACCGATATAAACAAGAAGGCAGCTTGAGATTCCGTTCATAATAAAATGTGCAAGAAGCAGACTGATTCAAGTAAATAAAACATTCTTGATATAAATATTTATCAAGAGAGAGAATGCCATCTCAGGTCAGATGTGTTTACCTTTTCAAGCAGTGCATTCTGCCACAGTCTGAACATCATCATGTATGTCCTGTCCCTGGCTCCAAATGAGGTAAAGAAGTGCTATAAGAAAAAAAAAAAAAAGAATCACTTATCACTGCAATATTATTGACAACAATGCTCTTATTTTGAAAAGCACAGTTATCTAAATATCTGGGCTGTAATCATAATTTCTGGTGACATTTTTTAGCTGCAATAATAGTTAACTTCTTGATAGCTATCGTCAAATATCTGTTTGTGAAAGAAATATGCCCCTTCTGGTGACAAAAAGCTACGTCACTTTTTAATCTTATTGTCAACAACCTTAAGGCCTTTTTGGAGCCTTTTTGGTTCATATAATTAGATTTTAAAGCCTTTTACGACACTGGGGGTCTGTCAAGTTGAAATATTCTTTTACCTTTTCTGTGTCGGTGCAGACCTGGATGGCATTGGGAATGAGGCGTGCAGTCTTCTCTTTAGTCATCGAGCAGATGTCCTTTAATCGGACTGTCAGCTGAACATGCACACACACACACACACACAAATCATACAGTTATACATACACATGCACTCACTCACATGTCAGCTCAATATTGCTGATAAAACTCCACAGGAGGGTCAAAATCAATAGGCCTTACCAGTGTTTCCCAGCGGAAGATGTTGCTATAAAAACAGATCCAGTTCTCGGAGAGGTAGAGTCGTCCCTGCAGGAGGATGTCCCGCTGAAGGGCACATGAGTAGTCTGCAACACAAATGAGACGCAAAAATCAAAATTGCTCGGAACAAACATGATTATGTGTTACAAAAAGACTAACATTATTATATAAGTAGCTGTAGGAATGCACATCGTCCTCTGTTTCAGGCAAAGATTTAAACAAAGATCTCATGATCTGTTAGTGCTCAGATAAAGCGTTGAGGATTAGTTTTAGCTTTGATTATGCAAAATTTTAGGTCAATATCTGTAAAACTGACAGACTTATAGACATTTTTTGTGTTTGCTAATGTCCGTTTGCTGTGGTAGTCATTTTAAATTGGGTTAATTTCAAAAGTTAATCAGTTGCAGATGAACATACAGTGATAACCTGATGAGCGTTTCATTAAAATCTGCCCAGTGCTTCATGAGATATTTTACTAACAGACAGAAAGACATACAAACAGACACAAACACACATTCGGGAGTGACTAAGTTCAGCTTTTTTTGCACTGTTAGAGACTCCAAGTACACAACAAAATGCATTTTAAAAAAAGGTAATTTGTGTGATATGTCCCCTTACAGTTTTGTGAATAAATAACTCAAATAGGTTATATATTTGATCTAATCGTTGGCATTACAGAATGTATCCATCCAAAAGAGGCCTCCAGTTTATTTTATTAATTCCATCTTCGTTATAATGTGACAGAACCTTTAAAACTGCCATGGGTTTTGRTTCTCAAGTAAATTCCTAAATCTAATACTGTACTAATATATAATTTTGTGATTCGTAAATGATGTAACGGCTATGCAAGGCTCAGGATCTACAGACAGCTCTCATGTTCTGCCAGGTTACGTCATACAGCAAAAGCTGTTTTAAAGGCAGAAAGCAGTAATTAAAAACATACATTTCATGTCAGATGCTTAAACACGGTTATTTTTGGACATAAAAAAGTGTCTGAAAAAAGACAACTCAATCAAACTAAATGAACAAATTAGTTAAAAAAGCAAAATGTAAAATATGGGCACAAATATAGTCATATATACTGTATTTTGTACTTGTAAATCAGACTTGGTTTTTGTAGATTAAGATTTGTAAGTTTTGGATATGTAAATAGGAATGTGTGTGTGTATAAAATAGAGCTGTATCTGTAAAAATAAAATTTGTATCTGTAAAAATAATATTTGTATTTGTAAAAATAAAATTTGTATCTGTATAAATAATATTTGTATCTGTAAAAAATATTTACACAAGTTACAATCTTTTTTGTTAAGTTCTGTTTACAGGGACAAAGCAAAAAACTACATGTAAATCTCTCTGCTCAAGTTCAAAACCTGCGTGTGAGTTTCAGTTTATAAGTACGAATTCTGAACCTTTTTTTCTGCCTCCAGCTGATTGGTCAATGTCTTGTCAATCATAGATTTAAYATCCAATCAGAGAACAGATGGGTTTGGTTGTCGTGCCTGCACATTGCTGTGTCTACATGGATAGATATCTTGTGTTGTGTTGCTATTGGATCATTTCAGTCACRTGACCCCCGCTACAGCCATCCAGGGAAACTCTGTTCMTTTTCCTGCTTTTTTAGTCAAGACTACTTGGTTCAACAAAAATATGAGGAAAAATAGGAATGATGTGGACTTCTTCTACCTGGCACCTTTTTTTTAACTTCTCTACACGTGGCGACGTGCACAGCTACAGTGCATGTGTACAACCAGTAAGTGTTCATCATTAAAGTCAAGGTAACAACCACACAGTTAGCGGAAAGAAATGGAAACCTGATGTTTTGACTTGGATGTTTACAGAAATATTCATTTATCATATTAATGTATTGTTGACTGAATAATGAAGAAGCACTCAGATTAATATATTACTAAAACACATCAGAACATTCAAAGACAGTAAATAAATGAAAATAAATGTATGGGTCMGATTCAGAAAATACTGAATATTTAATGTTTATTACATCATGTCCTACTACACTCGTATTTACATTTCCAAAACTTACAAATCTTAATTTACAAATACAAAGTCTGATTTACAAGTACAACATATATACGACTAATATTTGTGCCCATAATAAACAGGGTTCTATGGCGCTCAGTTAGTTTAAACTGTTTGTAGATGGCTCAACTTGTCAGAGTTTCAAGTTAAATCCATTCTTACGACCCCTCACAAGAAACAAACAAACAAACAAACAAACAAACAAACAAACAAACAAACAAACAAACAAAAGCAATCTACTCTTGATCAAAACAGACTGGAAACAAAGATTTAAAGACTTCATGAACTTTGTTTCACATGGTTGGGGTTATGTCCATCATCAAATTATCCAAGGTTAAGATTAATAAAGTGTGGGACCTCACCATGACTGATGGAACTGTTTTTAGTGCATAAAAACTTTGTGATCTAGAGACAAAACTGCAGAGTCATGTTGCTCCTGCAGGAACATGGTTAATAGATTCCAGGTTTGCGCCGGACCCAAAATTTAAATACGGTTCCAGGCTGTGAACGATCTAATCTTTGGAAAGTAAAGAGTTGCACACTGGGCTCACAGTCATTTCATGGCCTTAATACCAAACCTCAACCTCCTAGTACTTTTCTGGGTTAAGCTGGACTGATAGGTTTATTGTCGGTGTTAAAAGTTTGACAACCTATTCCAACAACATTATTAGCATTTTAAGTTGTGAGAAATAATACACTTTCTTAGACATTAAGGCCAGAGGCAGATTTTCGATGCTCACTAGAATGATGTACCAGTCTCACAGATGCTCCAGGTCTCTGTAGACCACTGCATGCAGTGAAAAAACTCTAAAAAACCTCTTCAAACTAAATTATAGTTTGATTTGACATTACATTTGATTTGAGGGCCTAAAAACCGCTGGTAAAACTAATGGTTGGAYGATGTTGCCACTGGCCATAAGAGTGGGGTCACATGCCAGGCAGTGTAGAAAGTGGGTCCATTCTTTACTCTTCAGCCAGTTCATGAGTCATGAGGACTAGAGAGGGTCAACTTTTATCTATTTAACGGAGGAAAAGCTTGCTGTTTGGAGCAGGTGTCACTTTAAATCAGGGACAAACTGTYAGAATCATATTGGATGAGGTGGAAAAACACTGTCATGATCTTATGTTGTTTTTGGACTCAGGAATGCAAACTGAGTACGAGGAGCTAATGACAAAAATAAACTTTATCACTAACAAAACAAAATGCTACATGGCTGCAGACTTACAGAACTGAGCGTAGAAGGAGGTAGAAAGAGCCACAAACGGGCACAGAAGGAGAAAGCAGTGGCGTGTAAGAATGACCAGGGGTCGGATTTATAAAACTTGCGTACGCACAATTTGAGCCCAGAAACTTGCGTTCGCCACTTTTCACGCCAAGGTTGTGATTTATAAAATCAAAACGTGATTTGAAAATGTGCGGCACCTCAGCCATCTCTGACCCATGCGCACGCTCATTTTGGAGACGTGAAACTGCAACAC